AAGCGTGCATAAAAATCCTCTTCTGGTTCTTATCATTGTTCAAAACTGGGTAGTGTAGGGAATGAAAATGTCTTTATGAAAATCGATGCTTTTGTCATTTCGGAAACCCAAAAGGGACAAAGCAAAACATTTCCGGCATTCTGTTTGTATAGAAAGGTTGTACAACCTCCGGACATCTACGTAATGAATCTATGCTGAATTTAGCCGACAGAAGCACTCAGCGACAAACATTCTAACACATACAAAAAACGAGAACAATTGCAGAGTAAAACAAATCTTTTCACATGAACATGAAAGATCAATACGACAACGTCATGCAAAAACATGCGTTTCCGAATAAATCTTTACTTTTGTTACTTTGTGCACAATTCTCCATAGCTAAGCTGCTGATTGTACGACTCTCATCAGGATGTTCCGAGTTTACAAAAAATTCACCTAATTCGACCGCCACCTTCTCAATGGGCAGCCATGCTCATAAGCTGTCTAGCCTACAAACAGCGTTTTATGGCCCACCTGATCATTCCGTAGGGTCCTTCCCACTTTGACCTATAGGGGAAGAGGCTCAAGCACTGAATTTTAGCCCCTAGTTAAAACGCTAGAGATTGTATAGTAAAAATCAACTGGAATAGGTCGACTGAGCGATTTCGCTGTGCTTTGGGCAAGATTTGATCTCTTCCATAACAGGCTACCTTCAATTGATCCCTAGGACAGCATTTTTATGGTGAGTTCTCCCTGGAGAGGTTCACAATGCAGACCACCTGATCGGTAGAAGGAAGTGAAATGATCGACGGTGTCTAATCGCAAAGCTGTCGTGAAAACATTTTAATTGTAAGTGTCTCAGGGACATTCAGTTTGAATTTCTTTATGCCATTCGGTCGAAGATGCGGTGCGGCATGATTGCCAGGAATAGCAGTGCTTTGACATGATGCATTTGTACGTCAGCATTGTTGTTGTGCTTTGGAAGATTCATCGTAAAGGTTAGACGCAGCCGAATAGAACATAAACACACTACAATACCTTGCAGGGTGCACAGAAATGTTGACATACTGGAGGACATAATTTCACGAAGATCGTCTATACTAAAACTTCATTCACAAAGCCGCTCGTGTTTCAAATGTTCAGCGGACCATGCATACAAGCCAAATCATTTTTGTCCCTTTCAAATATCCCATGCAATTTGCTCATTGTTGAAGTCAATAACTGTAGTCATTAAAATTTGAAAAGGGAAGAGTGGCTGAACCAACTGGAATGGTAGTACGATATGTAAAAAGCCTGAACAGTTCTCTGGGATAGAGATACCTCGAAAACGTTCAGTGGTTAAGCTGCGAACTTACTAACCATAGGGTCTGTGGCTCGAATCCTATCCTGGCACATCAACTGCTTCTGCTTAGGTTTTGTCAACCTGGCAGTATGCCAGCCTTCACTCTTTCTCTGGGTAACATAGCAGCTAGGTACTGAACTATTTATCTATCTATCCATTCCAATTCATACACGCGGCAGAGTGTACCGCTTCTTCTGGCAGAACGATGCCTGCGTTTCACTTTCAGTAAACAGTTATAAGCCATTAGCGAAAGCTAGTTCTTAACTGTCATACAACCAGGTAGAGGAGCCCGATAAAAAATAAAATGAGAGGAGTGGGGACCTATTGCCGAAATCCCCAATTTCCAAGCTAGCAGCGAAAGGCCTACGCATTCAAAAACTAGTGAAACAAACACATCTGAACATAGAGTTAGAGCAAGAGATCATCAGCGGGATTAATCTAACGTCCTTCGTGAACCTCACCCAACAGCAGTCTAACATGCGACAGGCAAGCGTTAGCCAGGCAGTCCGGCTAAAAAATGGCAACAAGCTGGTCACCGAGATCAGTTATCTGCCACGTCCCATAGAACTTCCAACCACCCAAGCATTACACCCAATAAGGCAAAAAGAAACTGAAGCTTTTAACCTGACAATGGCCGTTGTCATTTTGTCTACTACGTCCTGATCTCTTCCGTGAGCCTTCCGCCAACAATGCTTTCTTAAGTAGATGGCGGTCATGCACGTGATATGTGCATCCACCACCTTAACCTGGTAGGCCTTGAGTGAAACAAGTACTCGCTTCCGGTGGATTCCACTACGTACTACGTCTTCTATACATCCACTACCTCAAAACGTTTGAGGTATTCAAGTCGAAGAGGTCACGTTTCACTGCTCCAACGGTCGTTTTGTTGATGCGTCCTTCTAATCTCAGTGCTATTCGTTTCTAACGCCAAAGGCAATTCGGCAAATACTTCATGCGCACTGATTTCATGTCACAGTGCTGCCACGGTTTACGTAGCTGCCAAAGTGAACTATCAACAAACTCAAGCCTCTGACTATGGATTTGCAGAGGGGTGTATGAGTGTGGGAAATCCTGAGGTAAGATCTTGTAATTTGAAGGAGCAGACTGCATACCGCAACACAGGACCACTTCCCACACTCTGGTTGTAGTCTATGCGTCGTCAAACAATAGAACAAATACAAATAACTTAGGCCTACCAATCATTCTACCAGTAGTGGAATATTAGCGATGGACTTCGGTTTTCAAAACAGAAAACGAAACCAGGCTATGGGACCGGTCACACCAATAAGAATCAACCGTTTGGATTGTGAAATATAGTGATCGAGAAATTAACCACTTTCGCACATGCCACATTGAGCTTCTGGGTTTACATTGGTGTCTTCTACAGATTCAACCCAGAGGCATACGCCCAAAAAGATAACAGAAAGACTCATCAAACTTTTTTTGCACTGGACACCGGAATGCGAACAATTGAAGTCTGGTATTCATGCTCGGGAAGAATCAGGCAACTCTTAGTTAAATATTTCTCAGGTAGTGGATAATTAGACCTTTGATAAGTCAGCTTCCTCCGTTGGCCGATTTACAAGTGCCCTGGATCGGTGAGCTGGAGTAGAAAGCAATCGCAGGAAAGTTTGGCATAAAAGTAAAACTCTGCTTCCCCGTAAGGTAAACTATCCATAAATTGGTCTGGTTAGAGGGTGGAAACTTCCTAAGTACATTCTCGTCGAATACCAGAATGTTGCATGGACATATGAAGCTGGAAAAATCGGCCTTTCAAGGCCACTTGCGCAAATACCACACTTGATGGTTCTCTTTCACACTGGAGGGTTGTCCCACCCAGTAGCACCTATTCTCAAAAGCTAAATTCAAACCTAACAAATGTGTTCGGCTTAGTATGCAGCACTCCTCAGACTACTGAAGTTTCATGCTGTCGAAAAATTCGGTACAACATAGCGGTTAGTTGATGGCAACAACCAGTGTGATGTAATGGGTCATTCAGAAGTCAAGAAACCGGGGCATCAGTTTAATGTACATTTGGAAACATTATAATGGACTTTGAGTTTGATCAAATGGATAGTTATGAAAAGCAACCTGACAGGAACGCCACGATTAACGTTTGAAGTAGCAGGCAGAGTGAAGCAAAGCGCTCCAGGTTGATCAGGTCGGTAATGCGTACATCGTGCTGTTGCTTAAATAGGAATTTCAAGCTCGCAGGTGGGTTCGACCAGCCTGACAGGTAGTTTGCAAACGCTTCGCCATCACTCAAGAACACAATCTCAACTGCATAAGCTCAACGGAGAAGAAAGGACTCACTTAACAACGCATTGGCAGTGTTTCATTGAAATGTAACAAAACCATTTATCAAGTTTGGTGAACGTGGCCGAACAAGGTTTGTTCGACCGAAGCGGTACAACCAGAGACCGCAGTAAATATGGGCTATTCCAAGGCTTAATTGGTTGCAGAGAGCGAGAATGCGTTCTATAAGCTGAACTGAACAACCCGAATCGGTAGATTACAGAAGCTACAGGTTGTGCGGGTTGTTCGGTACGGAAGAATCACAGCCAGACTTCATTGAACAGCCTTACAAGATGCATCTGGGCTCAATCACCTACACGAAACTCCATCTCCCTTTCCTAGGCAGAGCATTGGTGGGAGATTTTCCTGCTCATATTGACACAGTAAGAGTGAATCACATTAGTCCCGTGTCAAGCTACTGTCGTTTGTCAGTAGCTCAAAGTATCAAAGGAATGGTTGGAAGCAAAACCACTTTTCACATCGCCTTTAACCTTCTGCGGTTGAGCTGTTTGCATACAAAATACACTGAGTTACTCTACCCAAGAATGAGGACTTTGTCGTGACCCCAAAACTGGATAGCTAGATTCAGGATTGGAATCCGTCCAGGTCGCGAGAAAAAATATACCACAAGGCAGTTAGTTAAAGGAAGTAGATGTGAACTGTTTGCTTCGTAAAATCAAATTCTCTCACACGAACTGCTGTTCAAGTAAGCCCTGTGGATTGCCGTATTCATCAGGTTTTGTTTTCTAATGTCAGAATAACGACGGGCTGGCAGACCACTAGCTAATCCGCTTGAGTGCGCTGAACCGTAGGCTAATGAATCAGTTGGTAAGTTGTCTGTCGAAGAAAAAAGAGAATTGCATGCGAAAAGAATCTTGAAAAGAGAGGATGGGACACGCGGAATTTTAGGCCTAACTCGAAAGAGAATGACCAACCACCGAATTTTTCGTCTGAAATAAATGTCTGGTAATTTTCATCGATTTGCAACAGGAAGGTGCACTAGACTGAACCGTTGAGGACTTGAATCGCTGTGAAGTGATGGGCAAGACACTGCCTTCCTACAAAAATAATCTCCCATCAAGATTCCAGGGGAGCGAAAAGCCAATCATTATTTCATTGTTGTGTCTGGTATTTTCATCGATTTGCAACAGGAAGGTGCACTAGACTGAACCGTTGAGGACTTGAATCGCTGTGAAGTGATGGGCAAGACACTGCCTTCCTACAAAAATAATCTCCCATCAAGATTCCAGGGGAGCGAAAAGCCAATCATTATTTCATTGTTTCTGAGTCAATATTATATTTTTCACTGCTCAATTGTGCTAATTATTGAGGATATGGAATCCGTATATACATAATATGTACAGATCTTCTCGCAACACAAGGTTCAGCTTCGTTTCCGCTTGTGGCAAGGTTTACCAGTTTTGTGCTGACTTTTTTTAGTTAGACGTCGTTTAGAGGTTTTCTTCGGATTCATCTTCAAAGCCGCCTTCAGAGACATCGGAGGTCGGCTGCAAAATGCTGTTTTAGAAACGCCAGGAAACTTACAATTCATCGGAGGGTGATAAGCAGTCCGGATGAGGAGCGGAGACCTGGTGATAAAACAAAAATTTCACGCCATACCTACCTCATTTTTTCCCACAAAGTAATGAGAGTTCGATATATCAATTTGCTCGAAGATGACAGAATGGTCCCCAATAATTTGTTCTTCCCTAGAACAAACAGTGTCTAAATCAGCATCACCGAAATCAGGCATTTTTATTCCCGCCAATCGGGCGCGAGCAGCTTCCTTATACTGCAGAAAGTGTGTATGTTAGTAACGGGAGTACTGAATACCTTAGTTTTTATCGCCTTGATTTCTTCAGCCAGCCGAGCCTCAGCAGCTTCCCGCGCCTTCTTCTTGCGCTCCAGTTTCCGTTTCCGAAATCCAGTGAGATAATCTCTGTTGACAAAGTAGAAAGTAGGCCAGGCACTCATACCTTCGTTTTTCCTCGTCGAAGATAAGGGATAATTTGGGTGCTTTCCGCGAGCGCATTGTGAAAGTTCCGGTGGATTAACGTAAAGACTGAAAAGAGGTATTGCAAAACAGGTTTCGTGTAACAACGCACAAGTGTCCAGGCACATCGGATTCATTGTAGTTTGAATGTGCTGCACAATGGCCGCCTCATGTTTCAGTTGGTATGACATTCAAGATATTGCGGTATACTTTCATAAAGGAAACTACTTACAAAGTTGCTGAAAACTGATTTAGCTAAGTTTCCCGCGAAATTCAAATTAATAGGCAAATGAGTCATTCGATATCAGTCCAATTCGGGTTCAAGTGGAACATAAGTTTGAGGGAAAATCGGAGACCGTACTCATCTGATGAGTCCCAAGAAGGCGAAACAGACTGTCGGCTATCGAAGGGTTTTCAGCAACCATGTGGGTAGTTCCCCTTATGTAAACAGGCAATTTCGTTTGAACCGGATAACCCGACAGATCAGGCCAAAACTAAGCATATATTGTTGCCTACCTCACCCAGACAGATAAATCGGTAACATTTCTTCTATATAGTCCACATGTGTTCAAACCCCCAAAGTCAAGGCTTCGAAATTAAACTATCTTAGTGGTTCGAGAAATGCCTACCGGTAGTGATCCCCAATAGGAATGAAACAGCAGTTCGGTGATTTACTTTTAGTGAGAATCTCCCACACAATACACTGAACTCCACTGAAGAGAAGAGGAGATCAAAAATGCCGGCCCATGGATTGCTTCCTCAACCTAATAACCGAAACATCCTTGTCATAAGAATGGACCAATGGATATGCCAAACAGCTTCAGAGCTTGCGATAGGTTCCACTAAAAACCACAAATGGGGGATCCAGACACCTGACCCTGACCAGATTTCCTTGATTTAGCCCTAGATACTCGTCGCACTCGTGACAATATATCTGGTTATTTGTGCTGACATCTTAGGTTCGCGAAATCCGGATACCAGCTGTAACTAAAAATGACTGCTTCAGACTTGCTCCATCCAAGTGAAATATTTGTTCATTCAGATTGTCCAACCAATGGGACTAGTATCGGAAACTAATCCCTTGAGTAAGAATAACATGACGAAGTCGTTGCCGAGCTTCTCTGGCATCAAACTCATGCTCACCCGTTCGATTTTTTACATCTCTTCCCTTCGGTAAGCTTCCTCTAATCTACCTGTTCCATGCCGTCACAACGAAAAATGTGGCTATGAACATGAAGGGTGAACACAGCCATAATAGTGTTTTCATAATCATACATTATCAACACACTGAACACTGCAATATGGGAACTTTAGTGTGTAGAATATGGTCGAATACCACAAGTGCTGCCGGAAGGAAACCATTAGTACTAATGAAATAACCCTCAGCTGTGCCTGACTGCCATACCACCCGAAGGAAGCACGAGGACTGAGATACTGTCAAGTTACCCAAGCTTCGAACAAATCAGTCAAAATGACGGAGTTGAGCTCAAACCAAGAACCTTCTGGTCAGTAAATCCATGCCTTAACCACTGAGCGATCTCAAGCTCGAATGGGAAATGATGAACTAAATTATTCGGAGATAAACGNAGTAGTTGCGTTCGAACAGCCTTTAGTCGAACTACAAGGTTACAGGAGTGTTCGGATAAAGTATTGCAGTACGGCTTCCTGTGCCGCAGCCGTCGCACAATATCAAACCTAATAGAAGATAAAGCTTGACAAAAATCATCAAACTTCTTGTTGATGGGGCAGGTGAGGTGGGACCCACAACTTCTGAGAGTGTTGCTTGGGTCCGTTATTCTTAATGAATAGAACGATTTTCCAAGTCCTCTTTGCGACCAACCTGCCCCGATTTCTTGTAAGGTCCTCCAGTTTTTCCAATTTGTTGACCGTCTCATTTGAACTCCAGAATTACCACTGGCCATTCTGTATACCTGCGTCGCTCAAAACGATGTATCTCTCCTGAGAGGACTTTTCCGCGATATCACCCCAACTGATTATTGAGGGCACATGACTCTATACGCTACTCACAGTGGGACCGAATAAGAGCACAATATAGTTGTGTTCACAGGTTAGGATGCCTACTGGTAGCCACTCCCTTCAAGGGGAACGGCTCTTCTAACTTTCTATGCCACGGCCATGTATTGTATAGATGGCTTAATTATCCTATCAGTATCCACCCCGGGCCATCGATTCTTTATTTTCTATTATTACTGACCTAAAAATAGTGTTCAGCTCTAACACCCTTTCGGTGCCCATCTGCCATGCCAGTCGAGGGAAGCACGAGGATTGGGACACTGCCAGGTTGCCCAAGCCTAGACAGGGGCAGTCAAGATGCAGAGGTTCGGACATGACCACGGACCTTCCGGTCAGTAAATTTGCGCTCTAACCTGAGCTCCAGAATTTCTATTTATCTATGTATGTGCGCTTGGACGTGTCAGGTAGGAGGTCCTAAGCCTCAGAGCAAAATTCACACAGTGAGGTCCCTTTGAACAGCTGAACAATCACGTAACCTATTGCCTCCGTGGCAACAGCAAAGAGGAAACAGAGACAAGGAGAGGGGAGGAGTATAGTACTGACCCCTGTGGTGGCTATGGTTGACTTGGATGTAGCTACCTGACCACAACCTACATCCCTAAACTTCATCCCAACCTTCTGCAAACCTTTTCACCCAATCGGATTCATTGTTGGCAACACCAGAAGCTTGCAGTATGTGCAATAGAAAAATGACTGACCGAATGAATTGCTCTCTGAAAACTGAAGTAATCGATATCAGCCTTTCCTACTCTGTCCGATGCATCTACTATGTCGTCAAGTGCTAGGACTAGGTCAGACAAACAAAACATTCTTTTAAAGTTGCATTGTACCGGGTCACGCAACATACAATCCGGGAGATACTGGTATATTTGCCTACTGTAACCTGTTTCCGCTGGCTTGTATAGTATGCTCATCACAATTACCCGACGGTAGTCCATTCCGTGAGGGTAACCGCTCTTAAGGACAGAGATATCACACAAACAGTCCGTCGTACGCGGCCAACTTTTCGGGGAGGCGGTCAGTCCATCCCTCACTTCGCTGAAGATTGTGTTGGGTNCTTAAGGACAATCACACAAACAGTCCGTCGTACGCGGCCAACTTTTCGGGGAGGCGGTCAGTCCATCCCTCACTTCGCTGAAGATTGTGTTGGGTTCCTGCATACCAACCACTGGTACAAATTTACAGGCTGGAGGGCGACAGTCCAGGAGGCGCTCTAACAGTTTCTGTCACCTCGATATCCCAGGCGATTGTCCTTCTATAAGTTCTCAGTATGTTTCTCTGATCAGTAACCCACTCTGAGACTGCACATATTCGGAGAATTCCTTCAGACTGTGTGGGCCATTTTTTGACATACTGCTTTCATATCCCAGCATGATTCGCTCGAAGTCTGGTGGTAGCGTTCCACCTTTTCGTACTTAATGCAGCCCTCCTCTTGTTTTGGATACATTTTTGACCAGTCTCTTACACCGTATTCTACATCCCTCCATTTTCTTTCCCTTTATAGTACGTGTTCCCCAGTGGGAATTGCTATACTCTAACAAAAATACTTCTGACCATTCTAACCGTGTCACGTCAGCTGACATCATACTGATGTCCATTCGACCGAAGTTTTTGTATTTTCGAAGCGAAGGAGACACGAAACATGTTGAGCTTTTTCCGAAGCGGGTTGGTTAATCTTAATTCAGTAAGTGACCACAATAAAGTCCTCGACACCCGTTTCACACTTCGCAAACAGTAGACCACAAGAGAGCGATTTCGGCAACCACCCCTATAACTAGTGGACTCCCTCAGAAACTGGGGTCCAGCAAGAGTCAAGAAACTGACTGGAAACCGAAACCATGAGTGATCCTGCATCTAGTTAGTCTCCGGAGCGTTGAAGTACCGCATCATTGTCCACTTCCTTTAGCGATTGCGCGTTCTCCACAACACTGGATTTTGAACCCGATACTCTCAAGCGGCTCTTGGCCCTGATCCCAACTTTGAGTCGCAAGTTACCAGTTCGGTGTCTTCTGAGACATTAGTTCGGGGGGCGAGATGGCTCAAGTGGTTCGAGCGCGAATTTACAGACCGGAAGGTCCGTGGTTCGAACCGGACCTCTTCTTCTCGACTTCCCATGTATAGGCTTGGGCAACATGGCGGTATCCCAGCCCTCAGGCTTTCTTCGGGTAGCATGGCAGCCAGGCACCGGAAGGGTGTTACAGATGAGTGATGAGAGGCATTAGTTCCTTCTATTTGAATCATCACCATCGACAACATGAAACCAGTGTTCAAAACTGGTGCTTCACTGCCGTACAAAAATAAGTTATCTGAAAGTAGTATTGTAAAAAGAATAAAAGCCGATGAATAGGGGATTTGGCTCGAGTTTACCACAATCATTCTTAGGACACTACGCCTTTGGACACTTAATAGAAATTACCAACAAGAACGACATCTACATCAGTTAGCAGTGAAGGGATTCCAGATAACAGAACGATTTTCTCCATTCTCAAGAGTTCGTTGGCGGGTCCACTGTAGTTGAAAGAGAAAGTGCAAGCTAACATTGCGCATCCTGTGGCATTCAAGTTAAGCCGTAGTGAGCTGTCAGCAACCTACTGAGAAGTTTGTCCCTTCAAGAGAGTATGCTGCCATATCTTGAATATCGTGTCAACCAAGAATTGAGACAGCCGTCGCGTAACTCACTGAGCTGAAGAATATCCTAAACAAGACGTTCGATTGGGATTCAGTTAAGCCCCCATTATCAACAAGCTAATTCGAAAGCAAGTTTATACCGCTATTTCAGTACAACTTGCTGTTCAAGTAGAAGATAAGGTTCACGGAACATCACCAGTAACATTTTCATGATCGTCATCATCATTATCATTAACATCGCTAACATCATCATCATCAGCTATAAAAGACAGCGTACTTGCCGTACAGAGGTTTAGCAGCCAGTTTCGTTCACTGATGATTTGGAGGTGAGATCAGTAGCTGCCCACTGGAGGCGGTAGCTGATATAATTGAGGTTG